CTAATATTTATATATATATATATATATATATATATATATATATATTTTGTACAATTTATTACTATAAAAAGGAGAGCATATACATAAATTATTTCACTCTCACAAAGGCTTCACATTTTTTTTCTCATTAGAACGATTCTATAGAAATAAATTTTATTATATTTAATACAAATTATTGCCATGTATCACATTCAAAATGGTAAAATAAAAATGCATCCCCAGTGATAGAAAAAAGAGAGAAGATTATATCAATAATAAATATGACTTAGTAATATAGACTTAATTAATTTTTGGGTTAAATTTTGTATAATATTTAATTTTATAATTTTATATCTTTATTTTATAAAATCTATAATTTTAATTTTACTACAAAATTGTTGATATGTTAATTGTTAAAACTGTAATATTTATTTAAAAATAAAATTTAGATATGCACCATATTACTATAAATCCAAAACATCACAAAATTATAAGTTGATCATGATCTTAAATTAAATAAAATTAAATAGATAATAATAATAATAATTAATATTTAATAATATTTAAATTAAATTACACTTTTAAATTTATATTTTATTTTATTTTACCATTTTTATAAAAATACATAATGAATAAAATATAATTGAAAAATTAATCATCTTTCGTTATATTTTATCAAAGATATCAATATAGTTTAACTCATTCAATATATAATTGAGTTTTTTTAAACATATTAGAAAGGATTTGATTTCTTTGTTGAATGAGACAAAAATTTATTTTGATCATGTTTAGAATGAAATTAGTATCTGATTATCGGTTGCGATTTTCTTAATTTACAAAAATATTATATTGTATTTACAAATGATATTTAAGTGCTTTTAATATTATTTAAGAAAACAAAATTTAGTTTCGACAATTATTACATGACATTAAAATGGACGTTGACTATTGAATTAAAAGTTGAATTAATTGAAAAAGAAATATAAAATACTACACCGAACTTTTAGTTCTTGCAATAAACCAAATCCAAGCCAATCATTTTCATATATTTGTTGTCATCCTAATAGTTAAACAGCTACGGTTTCTTACAAATTTTCCGATCTCATTAAAATAATAGAGTGACATATCTTTGGCGAAACGCAAACACGGTGGGGTAATTGAGAATTAATATATTATTATTTATTTGAGTTTAGTTTAAATTAAGAAAGGAAAAGAGGCCGGCGGGAATGGCATTCGAGAATTAGCGTGGAAATGAGAAAATTGAAAAACGGAGGTACTGTTTCATTATTATTATTATTTATTTATTTTAATTGAAAGGGTAGTTAAAATCTTAGAGATTCAAATTTCTCTTTTTGGCTTGTAATCCAATTCAATTCACCCTTTCCTAATTTTTCCAAATTTCCAGGTCTGGACACTGTCATTTGAAAACAACCTAACAATTAACAAACGGAGAAAAAGGAAGAAAAGCCTTTGCCCATTGCTTCAACTCAACCTCTCTTCCACACTCTCCCACCTAAATCCCTTTCCCACACCCCAAATTCCACAAATTCTCTTCCATTTCCATCGATCCGTAACCGCTGTCGTTGCAATTTCATCCACATTGCACTCTTCCAGGATTCCTTTTCGTTTCATTGGATTCGATCTCTGTCTTCCCAGGCGCCAGCTTCCTCTCCCACATTGCTTCCCCGAGGTAGCTTCTCGCCGATCTGTTTCTATTTCGCTTTGTTTTCGCCTCTGTCGTTCGTATATTAATGCGTCTCAGCTAGTATTGTAGCTTCGATTAGGAGTTTAGTGTTTTAATGCTTTGTTTACCTCAAATCGCTTTTCTACATTTGCTTCTTCGTGATTGCAGTTCCTGAAAAATCGACCGAGACGTGTTACCTTTTAGTTTAATATATTTTGTGACGGAATGTTATACCTATATTGTACTGGAGTGACAGTAGATTGTTTAATATAGCTTATTTTAACCCTAATTTCTATTACTGTTTTACTGAGAAGAAGCGCATTGTTAGGCTATTGGTCAGTTTTTCTTTCCTTTTTTTGGTTTAATTGTTGTTAAGTGCCTCTTGGTTAAATTTCTCCTGCACTTGAGGTATTAGCTTGTTTGGATTGAGAAAAAGTTCTTTGTTATGGCGGTGTAGGTGTAATTAATCAAGGGGTGAGGAGTGTCGAAAACGAGCATGCAGTGGGAGCAGGAGGGGCGGGTGAAAGGGGGAACTGACAACGTGAATGGGTTTCCTCAGTCAGGTGTTAACTGAAGAGAAGTTTCGGTCTCTTGAGATGGTTATTTGAATTTTTTGTATGCCTACCCTTTATGCACACTTGATTTTAATATGGTTTCAGGTAGCCAGCTTGTGCCTCTGTTGAAGTGGATAAATGCTGTGCTTCCTAACTTTAACCTGCCTTTAGATACTTCAGAGGAGGAGTTGAGGGCATGTTTGAGGGATGGAGCTGTATTATGCAGCATTCTGGACAATCTGGTTCCTGGTTTGGTGAAGGTGTGTCCTTCATTGTGTTATTTACTCATGTGTTGCCTTTCTTTTTGTGTTTGTGTATGTGTATGTGTGTACGTGTGTGCTTGTGTTTAATATTCTTTATTCTAATGTGCAGACCTTAAGTTAGAGCTTGTTTATTTTTATGCCGTTTATCTTCTAAGGAATTCATTTTTGGCTTCAGGGAAGTGGTTCTTTGAATGAGCTAATCGGTGTGAAAAAGTTTCTAGCAGCTTTGGATGAATTGGGATTGTCTGGATTTGAACTGTCAGACCTGGAGCAGGTAGAAGAATTTCCTTTGCGCAATGTCTTTTTGAGAACATTCTAAGTTTTTGTTTATGAATCTAATTGGTTGTCCTTGACCAAAGCGTTGGCTAGATAAATCCCTCATTTACCTGTACACAGGAAATAGATGGTTTGTTTCATCTTTTGTCACACAATGAAGGAGAACCACTGAACAATTTGATTGTGATATCTAGTAATTTATGGTTGTTAGGTTATGTGTACTTCAGTTTCTTTCTTTGATGCTGAAACTGGTACTCTTCCATGTACTTCCTTAGGCTGGACTTTGTCTAATAAAATAAATTGGTTGGCACTGTCCAATCATGATACTCATTCCATTTTTCTTTACCGCATTCTGTTAGTTTTATCCTAATAATTTAATCTTGTGGCCTGAGAATGTATTCAGGGATCCATGGTGCCTGTGTTGCAGTGCCTTGAGACTCTGAAAACTCATTTTGCTTATAATGCTGCACGAGAAAATAACCAAAGTTGTTCTAGAAAGAGGTGGGATCAGTCAAATCAAACATTCTTACAGGAAACTGATAGTTGCCTCAAGGATGCTTCAAAATTGCATCATGCTGTTGATGGTTCTGTTGTATTAGGTATTATGATACATTAAAAAGTGCCTTGCTCTCAGTAGATTTATTGAATATGAATTTTGTTAGTTTCAATGATGCTATGTGATCCATATATTTGACCTTACCTCTTGGAATAAGGGTTGGTTTCTGTTTAATAATGTTGTTTCTATTTCTATTGAAACTTTTTATTTGTAATATTATACTTTTTGTTTCTTTATCCAGATGGAATCGCTTCCGTAGATCATACTGGAATAAAGTCTAATGAACTGTTCCAGTCGAAGCAAGGATTGCATGTAAATTTTTCTGATGCTAAACTTAATGAAGTATTGAAATCAAAAAATTTGGATGTAAGTGATGAGCTAATTTGTTTGTCTGTAGCAAAGTTTCCTTTTTTCTCTCATACCATTAAATAATTCCTTATATATAATTATTTGAATACTTCTTTCTCTCTCCCTCTGCGTGTATAATGCCCTTAGGTTCTTGCTGTTAACTCATCTGATCCTAATATATTAGTGAAATCTTTTTCTGCAGAGTCTCTCGACTCGATTGCTTTTTAATATAGGAAATAGGATCTTAAGTGATATCTTTGAAAGGAAGAATGGAGATGTACCTCTGGTAAGTGGACTTAATACTTCTACAATAAGTAATAAAAAATGCTGTTTTATTGTTCTAGCAAAATTAAATTTGCTAGTCACTGAAGAAATAGTTCAATTTCTCATTTTTTTTTTATATGTTTCTAGGCTCATCGTGCCTCATTCCTGTTGAGGAAGATTCTGCAAGTAATTGAGTTGCGCTTTTCAAATCAAGCAGAAAGCATGAAAAATGTAAAATTATATATCTTTTCACATTTCCCCCCTAAAGAATATTAGTTTTAACTTGCTCTTGAACAATGATGATTTAATTATGTTGCATACCTGAAGCAAAACAATCTTTTCAAGGCTCGTGAGGGAAAGTATCAAACAAGAATAAGTGCACTTGAAACCTTGGCCGTAGGGACAACTGAGGAGAATGAGGTATGTTCCTTTAGTCGATGGATCTGACGCAATGTCTTACTGTCTTTTAATATTATTACTATCTGTTAATTTAATTTTAAAGTTGCATCCACTTTCAACAGGTTGTAACAAGTTGGGTTTTGAAGGTGCAAACTATCTCAAGCCCTATCTTTGAGTTCAAGTTAATGGAACAAACTATCAATATAGATTATTGTTTCTGTTAAATTTACTCACTATTTTCATTATTATTATTACTATTATTATTATTATTATTATTACTATTATTATATAGGGGCTATCAAATTACATCAGTATAACCTACATCAATTATTACACCATCCATAACTTTAAAATGATTCATATTTTTGTATGCTTTAAAAGTATACAGTACATCAATTTTTGTATATATAAATGATGTATCAAATATTTTTTTTCTTAATCTATGGGCTTTGTGATAAAATTATCCGATTAAAAGTTATTGAATAGTTTAATTGATGATGTAAGTTAACCCTAATGTAATTTTAACCCTCTCCCTCTGCGAGTGCGTGCATGTGTATGTATGTATTATCAAGTTACTCTAAGAGTAACGAGTAACTCTTACTAAAATTAATTCCTTCAATAATTCTTTGAATATATTAGTAATTTTTATTAATTAAACTATTGATTTTTTTTATATTAACTCGACAATCATCCGTACCAAAATTTAGATAACTCAGACTTTTGTAGTTATCTAATCTTATAGTCAAAATTTACATATATTTTAAAAATACATATTATACGTTAGATAGAATTTATTTAATAAAATATCATACAGTTTAAAATTTTATGAAATGGTATAAGCTTTATCTATTCAATAGTAAAATTTAGTATATGCATAGAATTAGTGAAGGGTTATTTTTGGAGTAACTTGATTCCGTTTCTCTTTACCTCCGTGTGTATGTATTTCTTGATTTCAAGATTATGTGATTTGGCTTATTTATGTTGCATCTTAAAGTAAAGTTCTTTATTTGGGTGAATGCAAAATTCTTAATTCAACATTATTTTGTTTTTTTACCTTAAAAAAAATTAACCTAAATTATTTGCCATTTTCTTTTATATTCTTACTGTCAAATTGTTGTTATGAAAAAATGTTGATGTGTATCGTTAAAACTTAGACTTAAATTATGTTTTTTTTAGTTTAATAAAGTTATGATATTAGGTTTCTTTAATATTTTTTTTTTATGTATTATTATTATTTGACTAATACCAATTCGACCACAATTGAACCTTGAACTATTACCTTAATTAGTTCAATGACATGTCCATTTTTTAAAAAAGATCGAGACTTATAGAACAAAATTGTTAGTTATATTTGAGTTTGTGAAACATTTATTGTAGAAGAATGTATACGAAACAATTAAATAGCTAAATAAAATATATGCATTGAATGAGGGAATAACAAATAAAATAGTGCAATTATCAAATAGGATAAGTTCAAAAGTATTTCTTCAATTCCTTTTCATTTAATAATTTAGGATTGTACAACATTTCAATTTTTTCATGAGAATTGGTGAAAGAAAAGTAAAAAAAAAAAATTTAATGAATTGTATGATTCTTATTGATGATACCAAATTTTGTAAATTCATTCATGTATCGTAAGATGCAATGTCATTTAAGATTCATCTTATGATACAAATCGGTAGGTAGCCAAATTGTATTGTATTGTAAGATTCTGATAACACTGATATCAAATTATAAGAATGCCACTTATAGTGCATGTCTCCAATGCAGCAAAGCAAGTCTATTGATCAGACTAAGATGTAACTTTTCTACCAATGCTTATAAAGGCTTAAATGGGTGACTATTACCTATAGTGAATTGTTTTTCTTGTTGAAGAGGTGTTCCCTTTTTTCACAATGGAAAAATAAAAAATGTTTTGATTTATATTTCAATGTATTTTTAGTTTTTAAAAATCGCAAAAGAAGTAGCTTTTCCAATTAAAAGTATGATTTTTGTTACTAACTTGCTGCAATAATTTGTATCTCCAGTATGCTTTGCAGGTTGAACAAACTAAATTTGAGGAGAAGAAGAAACTTGAAGAGCAGGATTTTTCTCGATTGAAGAAAGAAAAAGTTCGTAGTGAAATCGAAATTTCTGCATTGAAGCAAGATTTGGAAATAGCCAAAAGAACACATGAAGAACATGTTTCAGAGTTAGAATTGCAAGCTACTGAATCTAAAGCTGAATATGAAAAAAGGATAGAGGAACTTAAACGTCATCTTGCAGATGCAAGAAAGAAAGTCAAGGAACTAGAGGCATTTTCAGAATCCAGATCTTTGAAATGGAAGAATAAAGAGCATACCTATCAAACTATCGTAAATTTCCAATTTGGAGCTTTCAAGGTTTGCTTCTTTGTGTTGCTGTTTTCTTTATGGTTGTCAATTTCTTTCTTGTGCTATACCATATAATTTGATGCTTTTTAGGAACTGAAAACTGCCATGAAGTCTATCAAAAATGATGTGGTAAAAACAAAAAGAAACTACTTGGAGGAATTCAAATACTTTGGTAGGGTACAATACTTAAAATTTTTCATGATTTATCATTGATATCGATTATATGATAGATTTTAGTATTTATTACTTACAATATGTACATATGTAGGAATCAAGCTGAAAGGTTTAGCTGAGGCTGCTGAAAATTATCATGTAGTTCTGGCAGAAAATAGGAAATTGTATAATGAGGTTCAAGATTTGAAAGGTATGTATTTTATGGATCTTATATTAAGGTTGTGAACTTTTGTGAGCTATTGCTTCATTGCTGATCTGATTGATTTTTTCCTTTTATTTAAAACCATTTATGGATAGGTAATATAAGGGTATATTGTCGAATCAGACCATTTCTTCCAGGGCAAAGTCAAAGCCATACAGCAATTGAGTTTGTTGGTGATGATGGAGAGCTAATTGTCAGCAATCCTCTTAAACAAGGAAAAGAAAATCGCAAGCTTTTTAAATTTAATAAGGTTTTTGGTCAAGCAACAAGTCAAGGTACCGCATTCTATTTTCTTTTCTATTTCATTATTATTATTATTATTATTACTCCATGTACTTTATTTAGATAAAAAAAAAAGAAAAATGAAAAGAAAAAAGAAGTTAAGATAAGAGAGGGGGTCAATTATAATATAAAGGACAAAATCATCTAATAAAAATATGTACACAGAAGAAGAAAATCGCCTTTAATAATAATTATTAATAACATAGATTTTTACTTGTTTTCTATTGTTGAAATTAATAGTAATGTTTAACTTATATAGCATAGGGAGCTAGGTTCGATCTACATTGTAACCTTTTTTGCAATCTTTCCCATCTTTACAAAAAGAAAACTTATATCAATATTTTCTTTTAGAGGAAGTATTCAAGGACACTCAACCACTGATTCGATCTGTTCTTGATGGCTACAATGTTTGTATATTTGCTTATGGTCAAACTGGCTCTGGAAAGACATATACAATGGTATGCATTAAATATGCTTAATACTTTATTTATGTTGCATATTTAGTCTACTTACTTAGCAATTGCTATTCTACTAGAGTGGACCTGGCCTATCATCAAAATCAGATTGGGGAGTCAACTATCGGGCACTTCATGATCTTTTCCATATCTCCCAGAGTAGAAGAAGCTCTATTATTTATGAAGTTGGAGTTCAAATGGTTGAAATTTATAACGAACAAGTTCGTGATTTACTAACAAGCAACGGTCCTCAAAAGAGATATCCTTTTCCATTCTTTAATATATATTCCCAGACCCACAATAGTGCCCACCTTTTGCCCCTTCCCTCCTCCTTTTTTAATTGGTAGGAAAGATTACAATGATGACAATAAGAATCAAACCTAAATCCTAATGTATCTATCCCAAACCCTCCTTCCCCTTGCTAGGCAGACCCTATTGTTTCTGGACTTCCTTTTTATTATGAGTTATGTGACTCTGCATATTTACAGTTAAGCTTGCATTCTTATTCATTTATGTATTGACATACTATTTACTATACACACAGGAATTGAAGATTTGACACATAACATTATTTATTTATTTACTTCATGCATCTTTATCTTCTATTATGTACGGTTGTCATTATATTTAGACCTAGCATTGTTTACCACTCATTTACTTTTAATTGTTTTGAAGAAAAAATATACCAAGTATTTCCTTGACTTGCACACACTTGGGATTTGGAATACTGCCCAACCAAATGGGTTGGCTGTTCCTGATGCAAGTATGCATTCTGTAAATTCAATGTCAGATGTCCTTGAGTTGATGAATATTGGGTTTACGAATCGGGCAACTAGTGCCACAGCCTTGAATGAAAGGAGTAGTAGATCACACAGGTTGTATTCACAGGTTTAGGATTTTCTCTTGTCAATTTTCCAATTGTGTGAAGACAACTCATTTTATTTTCATATCACGTGATAGTGTTCTCTCTGTTCATGTTCGAGGAACGGATTTGAAGACAAACACACTGTTGCGTGGATGTCTTCATCTTGTAGATCTTGCAGGAAGTGAAAGAGTGGACCGTTCTGAAGCCACCGGAGATAGGCTTAAGGAGGCTCAACATATAAATAAATCACTATCTGCACTAGGAGATGTGATATTTGCTCTATCACAAAAGAGTTCACATGTGCCATATAGAAATAGTAAATTGACCCAACTTCTTCAGAGTTCGTTAGGTAATTGTTGTTGGCATTATTGGTATCAACTTACAGTTTTATTATATTTGGTTTCGTATGACTGTGTTTTGATTTAAGCACTTTTTAGTCGTGGCCTACTAAATTGCCATTGCTTTGTCCCTTGTATTTTATAGGTGGTCAAGCGAAAACCCTTATGTTTGTACAGCTTAATCCTGATGTTGCTTCATATTCTGAAACTGTAAGCACCTTGAAGTTTGCTGAGAGGGTTTCTGGCGTTGAGTTAGGTGCTGCTCGTAGCAACAAAGAGGGAAGGGATGTGAGAGACCTTATGGAGCAGGTTATTTCTATTTTTTATTGCATTTTACGTTAGATGTTTTAGTTGATGGCAGTGAAGTCAATGTGATGTTATCAGCAAAGCACCAGATGTTAGGAATCGGGATTTTAGTTATTAGTTTGTTTTACACTCGTGCGCCATCAGAAATCCAGTCATCGCTCTTGCTGTAGCTTAAGCTGATATTGCAATATCATTTACAAATGCACTCTGACTTGTATTATTCTTGCAGTTAGGATCTCTCAAGGATGCAATCGCAAGGAAGGATGAAGAGATAGAGCGGTTACACAAGGCTAATCATAATGGTGCAAAGCTTGGTACGATATCAGTCAGACATGGGTCGGCATCTCCAAGGAGACGTTCTGTAGGGACTCCCGGACGTAGCACGAGATTTTCAGGAGCAAGGAGCTTTGGAGTCAATGGAAAAGCAGCTTCTGACATGGATAACAGCTCAGAGTATAGTGATAAGCATTCAGAAGCTGGTTCTCATCAATCAATGGATGATTTCAGGAACAACAGTTCCCTTCGGTTGAAATCAGCCGGAGATGATATGAGTCAAAATTTGAATGAGGACATTGACCTCTTAAGATTTGGAGATGCAGATTCGGAGGAGAGATTAAGTGACATATCTGATGGTGGTCTCTCAATGGGAACCGAAACTGAAGGTTCAATCAGCAGTATTGTTGAGTACACTCTTTTCCCTGAGCTCGATAAGGCAGCTGAAACTACACCAGCAAAGGACACCACAACCAACAACCTTCCAGCTAAGAGCACAGAAAAGTGAGTTCTCTCTCTGTTAAAAGTTTACAATGCATATATTGTACCCTAACATAGAATGGTATGGATAATACAGCAATGCTTGCTGGTATAATGTATGCCATTTCATTTCATATCATCGTTACTTGCATAGGACCCCTGTTACCCAGCTAATTTAAATGGGGCCTGAACTCAATTTGTTTGATTAAATGCAGGCCCATTATGCCATCCAAAATCCCTAGATCTGCTCAAGTCCCACAAAAAGTGCAGACAAGACCTTCTAGGCTATCATTGAACAAAACCTCCTCGAAGGTTCAGTCAAGTATGTATTTCAATTAACTTACCCATTTTATTCTGTTCTATCTGTAAATTAAAAAACATATATATTACTCTCACTTCTCTTCCTATTTAGATTGACCTGTGACCCAATCTCCCTTGGTGATTCTGGTTCTTATTTCCTGTTGTAGGTGTTAGAAAGCCCACAGCCGGCAGCTCGTCTTCGGTGAAGTCCCTTAAACGATGGCAATAGTTAGGATGGCTCTTGGATGCTGTAGAGTGCTTATTTATAGAGATAGCCGATAGGAACTTTTAATTTATGTTAGGTGCTCATTCTAATTATACTGTACTCAAGGCTCATGGGTCAGCTCATTTCAGCTTCGATCTGTTATTGAATGAGGCGATTTGCAAACTCTAGCTTGTAACTAGTTTGTATGTAAGCATCATGGCCTTTTAAGCCATATTACTGAATCTGCTGTATTTACAACTTTTCACTCAGTAATGTTATCTGCGATGTTGTATATGTAGCTGAAGGTGAGAAATGTCACAGATTCATCTAACACTAAAATATTGCATTTGAAACATCTAGCTCGAACGATTAAAATTGAATCACAATCTAGAATTAACTTAAATTTAATCACAATTTTGGTGATCGGTCCGTTTGACACAAAAAGAGAACGGATTTTAAAATGGTGGGAGCTAGTCGAACTGGTGATGTAAAACTAATTTTAATATATTACTTTAATTTTTAAATGTTTTTTAATTTAAAACATTTTAGTTCAATAAAGGATCAGTGTTAAGTTATAATATAAATGTTTACGCATGAGATTCACTAATAAATTATTTAGTATCTTAATTTTTTTTTCATCTAAGTTTATAAAACATATAATATAGACAATTTATGTTAACTTATTCTTTTTGTAATTTCGTATTAGTTTGTTACTTTTAATAGTTGTGTGCATCAGTGTATAAATATTAATTAAGTTGTCCTAAAAAAATATTGAATTAATTTACCCACCTTTTTAATTCAGAGCTTGGGGGTAACCATGATGCGACCTTTGAGAGATGACTTGAGACTAGGATGCCGGTATCACTATTACAAGATTTAACTTAAAAAATTGTGAATCACCCAAAAAGAAATAAGTTTGTTCATGCTTTATAATCCACTCCTGCTAATTTGTTATGCGATTGAGTTTGGGAATTAAATGAAATTTTCAAATCTCATTGGCCAAAAGAAAGTATAATTTTGAAATTTGTAGAAGGGTAGAAAATTGTTCGAGCGCGATGGGAGGATGTCAAATAGGTCATATGTTTGATAATATATAACATTAAAATAAATAAATTATTTACTCAACAATAACAGATCATGAAACAGTCTGGGTGGTGTAGTTGGTTATCACGCTAGTCTCACACACTAGAGGTCCCCGGTTCGAACCCGGGCTCAGACATTTTGCTTTTTCAGTATCATATTTAATGTTCTTCATTTTAATTTTTTGATTTTTATAAATAAAAAAATTGAGATTAGCCAGATTAAATATAAAGCATTCTGTTCTATTACATCAATTCTTAACATTAAATTTAATCATGGTGAGATTTTACTAAATATATTTGTTATATAAAAAATGTGATAAATGATTCTTTTTTATTTACTAAAATGGTTGTAGTTTTAACTGTTAATTAGTTAAAAATAAATCAACATTTTCAATACCAGCAATTTTTTTTTTAACATTTTCATAATTTTAAAGTAAAAATAAAGCAGGATTTTACATATTAATCATCATTACTGTATTAAAATAAAGAGAAGGAGTAATGCTCCGGAGAAAACAAAATCGGCGCAACCACAAATTCTTCAGCTTCGGCTTCTTAAACCCTTTCTCCCAAAACATGAATTTCAGTCCTTCTCGCCAGCCGTCGCTCTCATCAAGGTTTCACTTCTTAATCAACATCAACTTTCAAGCATAGCTCTTTTTTTTTATTCAGTGTCTTCTTTTTTCTCCAGAGTACCCCATTCGCATAGCTCCCTCGATGTTGCCAATTTTGATTCGGGTGCCATTCTCTTCATTTCCATATCATCACACAAATGAGAAGAGAAATTTAACAGGTAAATACCGTTATTTAGTTTTCTTTTTTAATCCTCTCTCTTGTTCCATGTCTGTATATAATCATAAGCTTGATCAACAATGTTCTTATTATAAAATTCCTAAGAAAAAAAAAGTGGGACGGTCCAAAATTGGAACTTGGTCAGTGAATCCTTGGGCCATGGGTTCTGAAATTACCATACTTTGGTTCTCTCTCTTTGTTGAGAGAGTGTGCAACAGAGAAATTAAGTGTCTATTTAACTGGCACTTGATAGTCAATGTACTTTGCAACACGTGGTGTAATTGACACTTGACAGTTAACACCTAACATAGCTTGTTGACAGTGAATGAATTTTCATTTTCAGGCCTTTTCTATCCAGACATTTTTGGGCTATCTCCTTCTTGAAGGAGACAGAAGATTTGAGAATATGTCTGGATGCAATAAATCATCTAAAAATAATCAGCAATCAATCAAATATTGGCGAATTCAACATGGAGGGGCGTCCTCTAAGGCTGATCTTTCTTGTGTAGATTATTCGCCTTCTCTTTCCAACAATGAGAATAAACAATGCTATGGAAGTTCTCAACCAAAGTCCCCTCGGATACTGAGCACAGCTCAGCTCATCTCTGCAATAGGCCAGATATGGGATTCTGCAAGTCGCCCACTTTCGGTTTTACTCCCGAAGGAAAATGTGAATCTGGATGATAAAGGATTTCCGAAAGACAAAATTCTGGGTAGCATTGATGAGAAAAAGAATGAACTGGTATATACTTCAAGTGACACTAATTACCATCCTGTTACCGGGGGCGGTGCCCAGATTGTGCAGGAACAATGGGAGTTCACTAAGGTAAGGCAGAAGATGTTACTACTTGAATCTTCTAAAGAAAGTCAAGATTATATTCATTCTTTATTTCAGAGGCGTTCACAGGCTAGTGATAACAATACAAATAAAGATCGGAAAGAAATGGAACATGAGAGAGAGGAAATGTCATGTAAATCAGGAAATGTATATTGGTGGATAGGTAGGAATTTTACTAAGATGCTAAATTGTCAAGTGAATGTTACCCAGCCTGAGAATCTGGAAACTAATTCTCCAGTTTCTGGGGGTGGCATTTCAATAGATACAAGCACCCCTGCATTGGCTAATGAGAGTGATATGTGCAGTTCTAATTCAATCACACATAAAACTCAATCATTATCTGATGCTGTAATGCAATCAAGAATAGTTAGCTCTTTGTGTTCAGACTATTTTCTTCAAGCTGTGCCTGATACTATGGCAGACATTGGTGCTTGTCATACCCTTTCTTCTAGTATCTGTGCAGACTATCATATTAACTCTTTAGCTTCCTGTGATAGTGCTTCTGATCAGTGCCAACATGAGATTGATGATAATGAATCACTGGAAATCCAAAGAAGACATGTCTTGGATATAACTGATGATGAACCTAAGGTTCAGACATTCTTGGCAACCCATCTGAAGCCTTGTAATTCCCAAGCTAAGCAAAAACATGCTTTTTCTGGGGCGTTAGCTGGTATATGTGTCAGTCTTTGTCTTCACCCTGTTGACACAATTAAGACAGTCATTCAATCTTGCCGTGCTGAACACAGGTCCATCTTTTATATTGGGAAGTCAATTGTTTCTGATAGAGGTTGGTTTCTAAGAGAAATCATGTTCTTGCTATATATCTATGTAGCTTATGTTTCATTTCATTTAGATTAACTTTCCCTTTGAATTAAATATTCCACTAGATGGCTTCTTCATAGAGTTGATGGACTAATTTCAGGTTTGCTTGGGCTATATCGTGGAATTACCACTAACATTGCATGTTCAGCACCAATTTCTGCAGTGTATACTGTCTCCTATGAATCAGTTAAAGTAGCTTTGCTTCCTTATCTTCCAAAGGTATCTCATCTTTATCTATATTCTACTCATTTAAGTGGAGTTGCTCGAAGTTGGTTACCCTTGCTGTCTTGTGCTTGGGCATTCCCTGATTCCTTTATTTCTACATATGATACCTTCTAGGTGGGAGAAACTATGCAAGTTAAACATAACTGTAAATACTGTATTAGGCATCAATGACTCTTCTTATTATTTTGATGTTTATTGGCATAATGAGGTTTTAACCATCTTTTTTGCAGGAATATTATTCTTTTGCCCATTGTGTGGGAGGTGGTTGTGCGAGCATTGCCACCTCTTTCATTTTTACTCCTAGTGAACGAATAAAGCAGCAGATGCAAGTTGGTTCTCATTATCGCAACTGCTGGTATGCCTCATTTTTTGGGATATCAGCACCTTTCTTGACATAAAACTGCTTGCTTTGAGTACAGCTTGGCTTTATGAGTTTGTTGTGAATTGCATTCAATCATTGTAATTTGTGTTCATTGTTTCTGAAGCTCTTGTAAAAATTAAGTATCTCCTTTTAATGTGTAGTTTGGTCATGTCAGAGAAAGAAGAGTTCTATCAACCAGATGTGAAAAGATCACATGAATGATGGTAATAAATCCCTAAACAAACTACGCTAATTCAATTTAAATAATTTGCACTCACATCCCATGCATTTTTGAAGAAAAATTTGAACTGCCACCACCAGGAAGAGGTCCTTCTAGCTTATTCCTATCCAGCCGAAGTTCTTGAAGGTATTTCAAATTTC